CCAGGGTAGGTGATTGCACCACCTCTGGAGGGAGCTTATTCCACAGTCTGGACACCCTGCGTGTGAAGAAATTTTCCCTAATGTTGAGCCTGAGTTTGTCTTCCAGGAGTTTGTGGCCATTACTTGTAGTTTTCTCCTCGGGTGTCCTGGTGAACAGTTGCTCACCGAGCCCTTGAGGTACTCCCCTAGTGTAGCAGTAAGCTGCTACTAGGTGCCCTCTCAGCCTTCTTTTTTTCAGGCTGGAGAGTCCCAGACCCCTCAGCCTTTCCTCGTATGGCTTGCCTTTTAAGACTCTGATCATATGGCTGGCTCTTCTTTGAACTCTCTTAAGCTTGTCCACGTCCTTGTTAAAGTGCGGTGCCCAGAACTGGACACAGTACTTCAGCTGCGGTCTCACCAGTAATGAGCAGAGCAGAAGTAGTTTTGCTGGAGATGCACTGATTTATGCATGTCAAAGTATTATTTGCTTGACTGGCTACACCATCACACTGCTGGCTCTTATTCCAACTGTGGTTTATTATTACCCCCAGGTCCCTTTCATTCACGGTGCTAGTCAGTTTGGTGCCCTCCAGCCTGTAGGTGTATTGAGAGTTGCTCATCCCAAGGTGGAGCACTTTACATTTCTTGACGCTGAACTTCATCAAATTCTGATCCGCCCAACTTGCCAGCCTGTCTAGGTTCACCTGTAACTGCAGCCTATCTTCAAGCGTGACCACGCTTCCCCATAACTTGGTGTTGTCCAGGAACGTGGCCAGTGAGCACTTCATCCCCACATCCAAATTGTTAATAAAGATACTGAAAAGTACTGGACTGAGCACCGACCCCAGCAGGACACTGCTGTCTACTTCTCACTAGGATGACACAGATTTGTTCACTATGACTCTTTGGATCCCATCCTGCGGCCAGTTTCTCACCCATCTGCCTGTCTTGGAGTCCAATTTTCTCCTGAGGATTTTGTGGGATACTAGATCAAAGGCCTTTTGGAAGTCAAGTTTTACCTTTTGATATATTTTCTTTCCAAACTATAATCCATCCTTCATAAAACTGCAATTTCAGCAAAAAATTATCTGGCTCAATGTCTTTCAGAGGGAAAAAAAAAGCATTTTCTTTGATTCTCTCTCTCCAAATTTACTGGATCTGATGCTGTAAAATGCAAAGTATCTCCCATCAACTTTTATCTATCTATATTTTTATATTGTACTCAGTGCCAGTGATTGAAATCAATAGTAACTAAGGTCATTTAGCACTTTGAAGGGTTTGAACCATAGTTTAGGAGAACACTAATCATCTGTATAACTCAATCCTTTCTTATCATGACCCTATAAAGCTAAATAAGACTATAATGGGACTTAAACATTAAACTACATTTAAAGTATAGCACATAGTCTTGAATAGGGATGTATTCCTGCTTAGGTGGTTAGTCAACTGGGCCCAGATCCACAAAAGGATTTAGGTACAGTGATGTTCAGTGCCACCAGACCTTACTTTTAGATGCCACAGAATGGGATCACTACTGCCAGCACATTGAATGAGGAGATGCCTAAGTTGGCCATTAGGAAATGTTGAATAGAGGTTTATTTCTTATATCCTGTTTTTTCTTTTTCAGATTTAAGTGCTTACCTCAGGGTACACTTAGGTATCTATTTGAGACTCAGATTCAGAGTCTGAAAAAACGTCCAGAAATTAGGTGCCAAAGCAATTCCTTGTCTATGGGTCATTAGCTCCATCTTTTCTTTAAAACATATCCAGAGGAAAAGGTGGCAGTGCCCATCTTTTATATGATAGCATTTAAGTAGAAGAATTCAGAGAGGAAATAGGAGCCCAGGTTCAATGCCCTCCTCAGCATGAGAGGATTCAAACCACATCATCCATCTCCATTAAATAAATAAGCCCTATTCACCAGGCTATTGTCAAGGCCATGCCATTGAAGCTGGGATGCTGTATAGAGAGGAATACAAGATTTACAGGGACAGAGAAGAAGAATAATTAAGAGGGAACATGAAGACAGCTGTGGTTTAGGAATGAGAGTGATCCCCTGCATGGGAGGAGTCATGGTTTCAGTTCCTGCAACAAATACTGTTTATGTACTTTATCCAATTTAATCCAAAATGCCCAAGCAGTGCCTGGATCAGGGAGTGGAATCCAAGATTCCCTTGTCCAAGGCAGTGCCTTCATCAGTGGACTGCAAAGTCACGTGGCCCATTATCCTCTCCTTAGGTCCATGAATCTTGTGTTTCATTCTGCAAAGTGGGCCAACTCTGCCACAAGCCTAGCCTGCAGTCTAGAGCCTAGACAACTCTCCTGGGAGGCAAAAGATGTCATTTTGAATCCTCTCAGGCTTTCAGGATGAGAAGGGCCTAGAACCTGCCCCCTCCCCTATCCTGGGCCACCATCACCGTCTATCCTATCACTTCCTGGGCCACCACCCTATCTAGTAAACTATCACATAAAAGACGGGTGCTACCACTACTGCCGTCATTTTGAAAATGGCTGTTGCTGCTGAGTTTTGTGTCAAACTCGGTGTTGTAACTGGGCTCAGAACATGCCTATAAGGTCTGGCTCTGCGGGGGACTTAAACTCAGGGGTATTTAGTTTGTGAATCCCTAAAGACTTTCAGTAAGAGAGATGGTCAGCCATATAGTTGTGTCTGTCAGCCCATGCACTAGCAGAATGTTAGATGAACAACAGCCTCTCAGGCATGTAAGTGGCTAGGCAGGGGTTTCATGGATCATTCACACAGACTTTGGTGTCAGAATCTTGTCTAAGTTTCACCTAGGCACCTAAGTCCTTTTTTTTTTTGTGGATCTGACCCTTTGTTCTGAGACTGTTATTAATTACACCAGTGTAAATCAGGAGTAACTACTGTGAAACCGGGAGAGATACACCAGTGTAAATCCAGTGAAACTGGGCTCAGAATCCAGCTCATGCTGTCCCCCCGTGGAGAAGCGGTACTCTTTGCTCTAGGCATTCACTAGCATCTTGCTGTAGTGTGTGTGGATTACCAATGAATTGCTGGCCAAAGCACTGCTGAGCTGCATTTCCATGTCGAACATCTTGTCTGCGGAAACGTCTGGGGAGAAAAAATGGAACTGTTTTAAGAAAAACGTATTCAGCTGTCAACCTTATGCCAAAACTCCATGCATTACAAATGCGGGGAACTAAATCTTGATCCCAAATCCTTGGCTAGCACTATTATGAGTAATGTGAAGAAAATTCATATGCTGTACTTTCCCACCCTTTTACTCAACCTGGAGGTAATGGAGAACCTGTGAATGCCTTAAGCGCTGCAATGTCTGAAGGAAGAGACATTCAGTAGTAGTCAGATCAGTACTAGGGAAAGTTTCAAGTGTGGAGATGTGAATACACACCCACACACAGACACAACAGGCTCAGGGGGTGTACGCCCTGGCCACATCCAGACAAGTTCAGCTGTGCAGTACGTGGAGCCGCAGACATGTCTGCAGTGCCACATACTGCACATTCAGCTGTTCTCCATGTTGCAAGGTAGCGGGGCAGAGGGAGGAACGTTGACCCCAGGAGATCCAAAGCCTGGCTTGCCAGAGCCACACTCCAGCTGCTGGCCAGGCTCTGAGCAGCAGGATCATGGCTGCTGCAGCCCAGGAGGCCGCCAGGACCCCAGGTAAAGTTCCTGGGCCAACCCAGTGCTGGCCTCAGCCTCCCCTACCCCACCCCACCCAGGGTAACCTGTTGCACATCAGAGGGCACATGGCATAGGTGTTCCCTGGGGACAAGTAGCAGCAGCAGCTGTGCCACTGCTTCTTGTCCACGGGGCAACAAACATCCACACTTGTGTGGATGTGTGATCGAAGCTCCCTGGTGGTCAGACTTGCCTGCCCTCAGTCCCCAGCTCTCTCACTTCTCTCTTTTGCCTGGCATCACTTGATCTTAAGATATTTAACTGAGAAGGCTTCCTCCAGAGGCTGGGATAGCCTCTTCCTTGGTGCCTTCTTTCTCTACACAGTCCTCGGGGCACCTCTGCCCCAAACCGTAAGGGATGTTTTTCCCTTTTAAGATGTCTCTTATTGTGCCTTAAGGGCTATAACCATGGCCCTCTTTCCAAAGCCATGTCCAGGCCTTGCAGGTATCTCTGTTGTAACTTAGAAGAGGCAATGGGCCTCTCAGGCTCCCAAACTCTTCTCTAGGTTTCAGCCTTCCCAGCTTTGGCCCTTTCCCTGTGGCTGAGCCCCCTCAGCTCTGGGCTCCCGGGATCCCTGGCCTTGCCAAGGTGGCTCTTGCATTCTATGCCAGCTTCTCTGTGGTCACCAACTCAGGCAAGGCTGCTCAGGCTCTGCACTACCCTGTGGTCCCTGACCCTTACAGCACTTTATGCTGGGTGCCCCATCAGGCACCCATGTGGCCTCAACACCTACCCCATATCCACAACCAGTCCCCTAGTGTTTAAACCTAAATGCAGAAAAAATAACTGGAAAGCAAAGTGTTAGCCCTCCAGTTGCAACTCATCCTAAAACCCTTCAGAGCCACAGTTGCCACATTCCTCCTACAAGGATCTGACTTGATCCCCAGCTCATAGGGCATCTCCTTTTCCCTGACAGCCAGGTCTGCCTTCAGCTCCTTTCCCTGCAGCCTCCAAGCATAGACTGCCAGCCCAGCCCAGAGGCTGGGTTTATATACAGCCAAGCTTTGCCCCTTCCGATCAACAGATTGCTGCCTTTGAAAAGGGGCCCACGGGTTTCTGTTCAGCCTAACATGCTGCTTGATCTCCCCTGCCCTGCAGTACTCTCTGGTTACTTAGCAGTCCCAAGTCTCAAGGCTGGGGTCCCTGCTCCTGATAGCTTTTTTCTGGCTGCTTATTCAAAATGCAGCTGGCTCCAATTCAGCTATCTCTTGCTGAATTTATTTTAGCCTGCTGCTTTTTCCTCTTAAAGTAACAGGATCCCCTGGCTCCATATTACATGAAGCCTGATGCTCTGGATGACTGAACTACATTCAATATCACTTCAGATGAAAAAGTTAAAGGTTGCTTTAAGTTTTCTTTCTGTTCCCTCAAAGGCTAACATCCTTAGTCAGAAGTTAGAGTGGCAAGAAGGTCCCACAGAGGTTGAGATATAAACTGGTATAGTTAATTCCCAGCAATACCCGAAGACTCCTGTACATGGGTATTCCAACAGACTCAGGGAGCTGGTGGGTACAGTCCCCTGGGAGGCATATATAAGGGGAAAAGCAGCGTAGGAGAACTGGTTGAACCTTAAAGGGTACATCTACGTGAGATGTTAAATGAGCAATGGACATTGTACTACATGAGATGCTAAATACACAGTAGACATTTAGCCATGCTAATGTGCAGTAGAATTAGTCTACTGTGAATTAGCATAACTAAAAGACCATGTGCCAGTGCTACTGTGCAGTAGTGGCAGTTAGGGTTGTGTGAAGCTTTGGTCACTTATTCGATTTGGAAGAGATTCGGCCTGATTCGGCGACTGAATCTCCGAATCTGAATCGAATCAGCAGACCCTTTAATTTCTCCAAATTGAATCAGAAGCCTCCAATTCTATGGAGAGATTCAGAGAGTTTCAATGATTCAGACATAGACACAGGTTTATATGTTTCTTCTACGTACCTCAAGGTACCAGGCAGCTTGTGAATGCTGAGATGGTGGGGTGGGTGGAGCGTCCCACAGGAGTGCGGGGGCTTCCCAGAAAGCTCAGCAGCAGACAGTTGCCTCCTGGGTCTGGGGGGCACCTGGGGTCCCCCCACAGCTGACTGCCGAGCTGGGAGGATATGGGAGGGGAGGGGGTCCCCCGCACACTTGGCAGTGGACCCAGAAGAGGACTGGAAGTACTTCACAGAGCACAGTCCCACGTGCTCCCGTGGATGCTCCACCATCTCAGCATTCACAAGCTGAGCCTGGTACACATATAAAACTGTATCTATGGCCAAATTGCTGATTCTCTGAATCAGAATTGAATCTTCAGATTTGGCCAAATTGAATCCGGACAGTGATCTGAATCAGCAAATCAAATCACTGTCCCCCAAATGGGCCTGAATCCGAATCGAGTACAGCCTACTTCGCACACCCCTGGTGTCGATTACTGTGCATCGAGTTAATACCTGTTATTACAGTTACTAAACTTAATGCGCAGTAACAATGGTCCACTAATGCATGTGTAGACATGCCCAAAGAGACCATAAAAACAGCAGACTATCTTGATAGGAAGGATGGACAGGAACAGCAGTAAGAGACTGGCCTGGCTAAATATAGCGAGTTCTTCAATGAATTGAAACTCAAAAACGAATCTTACAGACAGTGGATATTTGGCAATACTGCTATAGGATGAATAGAGGAGTGCAGCATGTGCCAAAACAGGGGCAGAAGAAGAAGTTAGCAGTCTTAAACTGGAAAAAAGAAAACTTACATTGGATATTAGGAAGAAATTTCTAGCTATGAGAGTGGTTAAGAACTGGAACAGATTACCTAGAGAGGTTTAAAATGTCCTTGGAAGTTTCTAAGAGCAGGCTAGACAGACACTTGGCTTGAATGGTTTAGACAGAGATGTTCCTGCCTGGATGATCTTCTGTGGTCCCTTCTGGCCCTACTTTTCACTATATATTAACAACCCAGCTTCGCAGAAAAAGCTCCTCCAAGTCTTTCACAGTTTATAATGTGTATATGAGGATTTTTATTATTATTATTATGATTAGTAGTAGTAGTAATAGTTAACCTAAAACTCCACTCATCTGAAGATTTTAAAGGATAGAACCCTCCTGTGTGGTGGGCATTATCACTTTTATTTGTCAGACCAAGGAATCTGAGGTACAGCAAAAACAAGTGAGCCAAACATATGCTGAATCAATGGCAGAACTGCGACTACAATCCAGGAGTCCAACCAGTGAACTCCAGGGCTACGTCCAGATGTGCAGGGGCATGTGATTGAAGTGGTACAAATAGTAGCAGCATAAATTTGTGCCACAGCGCACACTCCTGCACATGCACTTTGGTGAGGGACAAATTGTCCCGTTTCCGGGCAAATGCCCTTTCTCTGCTTCTCCTGCTCTTGGTGTGATGGAGCAACCTGGGGGCACAAATGAAATAGTAGAGACACTCTGGCCAGCAGCCAGAGCTTCTCCCTAGAGAATGGAGTCTCCATTTGTTCTGGCACACATTACAATAGCATGCACCGCACTGTTTTTTTTTGCTGCCAGAAAATCCTGGCAGCATATTTTGCCCCCACGCTGCAAATTTGCGGTGTGGGGCACATGTTAACACTCCAGGTGTGTGGTTTGTTATTCCACAAAGAGGTTTTCAGTGCCACAAGCTACATGTGCCTTCATATCTAGACTTGGCCAGAGAGTCCAACCCTCTTGCTTCTTGAGGAGACAGGTTTTAAAAAGAAATCAATATAAAACGCAAATACAGTCCTAGACTGAATGCAAAGTAGCATAAGCTTTTATTGTGGACATTTTACTCTCTGGCCAGTATGATCAACAAGATTAAGGTAAGCACTATGGAAAAGAAAGCACCTATTTGGAAGCTTAGCTCACTGCCTTGTCAGATATGGTATTTTCAGCAGTATGAAACCTACACTTATGACTCTGGATAACACTCCTGTTTTTGTACAGAGATTTATTCAACTATGACTTTTACACAGGCAAGTCTGAATGCCTGATTAAAAGGAAAAAGTGTGGCAAACCTCCTAAAGCACAGAATTAATGTACTTATGTGTGCACAGTACATGCAGCCTATGATAGAAATTAAGAAAGCCTAATTATGTTGTTGTACTACTTTATATTATTTGAATAACAATGAAGTTAATCCTTCCCCTTATTTGGACATAGAGGACTATGTCTTCATTTGGTGTAATAGCTCCACTGATTCAGCAGAACCATGCTGACTGACATCAGCTGAAGGTCCTTGCCCAATATTCTTGTTATTGCATTTGAAAAGTGGGAAGGCCTCACAGCAGGTAGTTTTATGATAATGGAATCTGTCATTCACTCCTGTCAATCAGACTGGTGCATTTTACCAGTGCAAGTCTTGAAATAAGTATGGAGTATATGACTACACAGTCAAATGGGTCACTAGTTGGCTGG